CCAGCCTGGGGAAGAGCGCTGGAGAATATATAATAATAGTACCTTTTCTGTAGCAGTCCAAAGTATTGAAATGTCGCAATCATATTTTGGTCTCTTACAAACAAAGGCCAATTGCTTAACTTCAGACTGGGGAAGGAGACGTGTACAGGGGCTGAGAAAATAGCAGCTTGCCAATGACTACTTAGTGAAGCTGTGGCAACACTGGAATTAGTGACTTTTGGGCTTCAGGCTTTCGGATATCACAACCTAGCCCCATTTAAGGAAACTTAAGTATCGATTGGTTCACGGTCTGAACATACAAACCATGGCTTCGTGATCAGCTGGCAAACCAGGATGTAAGCCTTGGAAATCAATCAGCAAATAAGGGTTTGAAAGAAATGTCCAAACCATGTTTTGGTTAAATACCTGACTTTGACCAGTTCTGTGTTGTGGGGCACTGCTCATCCTGCAACAGGAAATGTCGAAATGGAAGTCTGGAGCAGACAGCGAATGCGAACCACTCCGGGGCCACTTGGATGGCTTAGAACATAACATGGGTTCTAATCCATGGTTAGTGCAAATTATACTTTGGTGCAATGTGTCCCGAGCCCATTTGAAGATACTTTATTACCCTAGACTAAATTGGCATTCTGAGGATCTCCATAACAGAACAGAATACCTCACCTATACTAATGACACCTAGAAAAAGGAGTTATTTTTCTATAAGGGCCCATTATCCGTCTACTGCTGGGAAATCTGCTGGGCAGTTATAGAGCAATATATTACCTGGTGAAGTTCTCTCCCATTTCCCAAATCTAAGTAGCTTCATCCCCACTTTACCTGGGGCTCTAATTCATGTGTTACAGCCCAGCTGACCCAGATGTCTTATTTAACTGTCCAAAGTTCTCCCGCAGTTCCCCAGTGCAGTGGGAAGCATGTTGCAGGACTTGGGTGCATTGTGTTTAAGTGCCTTTGTTTCATTTCTCAAGCTTGCTGGCTTTGAATTAAGAGTCACTAATGCTTCACCTGAAAAGGTACCGTACGTCATTTTGTCCACGAATACTATCACTTCCTCTCCCGATGGGAATCTTGTTCAGGCCTTTGTGATTGAGCTCTGTCAATTATGGTTACAAGGGAGGTGTGTGTGTGTATGGAGGGGCAAGACAGCTATGTTGATGCTGGGGGGCACCTTCTTCATCACCCTATTTTAACCCCTGCATCCCCAGTGAAATGTCTGCTTGGTAGAAACAGAAAGCAAGCTAGGATTTGAGCACAGGCAGGGAAGCATTAATGAAGGAAGGATCAGCTTGTACTGGGATGTGGTATGGATGCGAAGAAGGTATTACTGGGGCAGACAGGCGAGGGAAAATATTCCGGACATGAGCAGAGATTAACCTGGTAAGGCCCACAGCTCAGTGCTGGATGCTGAAGCTCCCAATTTCACTCCTGGCACCTCCAGGTAGCGCTAAGAAAGACCCACATCTAGAACCCGGGGCAGCCTCCACCAGTCGTCTGTAACATAGGCAGACTCATACGCTTGGCATAAGGCAGCTTCCCACAATTAGGGAAAGAGTTGCAGGCTCAGAGTAGAGACCCTGCTCTGTGTGCAGAAGACCTTCTGCATCTCTAGGTAGGCCTTGATAAAAAGATGCTTACCTAAAACCCAGGAGAGCCATCACAAGCCTGTGCAGAAGCTGTGGAGGTCCGTGGACCACGGGTCCAGTCTGGACTAAGGCAGGCAGTTGCCTGCTATAATAGAGGCTTGATTGTAGCCAGTTAGTTCAACCCCTAATCGGCAGCGCTCTCCCCACTGGGCCACACAGGTGAAGGAAGTGCAGGGTGGTTGCTTCTCGGGGCCATACCAGCTTGTCCCATTTTGTAGACTGAAACCGTAGACAGAATCTTTAAGATTCCTTCCAGACCCCCCTGACATGAAACAGGCCCTCCCACAGAAGTCTGACGCGAGGAGGAAAAGGGCACATGGAAGAAGAAAGAAAGGGAGCAGAGAAAAGGAGAAAGAAGCGAGAGAGAGGTACCAGTGCTTTTGGAAGGCACAAGGACGGGGTTGGTTACAGGGTATCGGTCGCAGTTCCAAGCACCCCACAGAAAACGGTTTAGTAAAGGACAAAGCCATCTTTTAACGTTCCAAAATGTAATGAAACACATTCCTCTTGATTTTAGGGCAAGCGTCAAGATCCCACCTAGGGGCCGACAGAAGCCTACTCGAGAGTAAGTCACTAGGACCCTGCCGCCTCAGGGAAGACGCAGAGAGCTTCGGACTGCATAGTTCGTGGTACGTGGTGGTGGTGGTGGTGGTGGTGGGATCTTGCCTGGCGGTCGCGAAAGAAAACAAGGGCTCCAGCCCCAGACTGAAATATAAAAGGCAGGAAGAACGGGTAGAGCAGACAGCGGAAGGCACCAAGTCCGAGACGTGGGAAGCCGGTTTAAAGCTCGGGGAACCGGAGGTGTGGCAAAGCGATCGGAGCCCTTTGGACGGTATCCTGGAGGGGAGAAGTGTGCGTTGCACACCCGGGTAAGAACGCGTCGGGTTGGCAGAAAATCGGAGGGCGGAAGGGGTCGAACGCCGCCTGTCCTAGACGGACTGCGATCCGGGCAGGGGAGGGCGCTGGGTTAGGGCGCTAGGTAGGGGCAAGACGCCGCGAGTGGCGGGGGGCGGGAAGGCACTGGGGCGGGAGAGGAGGGTCCCGGCCGAGGAGAGGGGAGGGCCTTGGGCAGTGGCGAGGAAGACGGGCCCATGGGAAGGAAAGCCGGGCTCGATCGTCGCCGAGACGGCCCACAGGGGGCCGGACTGAGCAGAGCGGCGCGGCGCGGCGTGGCGTGGGCTCCCTGCTTGTGCTGCCGCCGCGAGGTGGGACTCGCTCGGCGGGCCTGGCCGGCGATCGCGGCCTTCGAAGCTCGAGCAACTTCCAGGGTAGGCGTTGCAACCCCGGACGGACGGCGGCGGCGGCGGCAGAGTAGAGCGTGGCCGCCAGGCGGGCGGGCAGGCAGGCGGGCGGGCGGGCGACGGACGCTGCCGGCCGGCTGGCTGGCCGGCGGGGGGTCAAGCCCAGCAGCCGATCCTCCGGCCGAGCTGGGGCGCCTCCCTCCGGCCGCATCCCCGAGAGGAGCCGAGCAGGCGACGGAAGGAGGTAGGCAGGCCAACCGCTCCCCGGGGCGCGCCGGTGCTGATCACGGTTTGCACCGCCCAGGGAGCGAGCGAGCGAGCGAGCGAGCCTGCGAGGCAGAGACTCGGACGCCGCGCTGCGCCACGGCCCCGAGGGGGCGCCCACCCAGCGCAGGTGCGGAGCGCGGAACGCGCGCTGCAGCCCCGGAGGGTGGCGGTTTCGAGCTGCCCCAGGTACCAGCGGCACCTCGCCGCTCATCCGCGTGGCTGCAGCCTCGCTCGCCTGCCCCTCGCCCCCGCCAGGCGCCTCGCAGGCTCCCTCCGTCGGTGCAGCGGCGGCGCCGGGACGCAGCACCGCCGGGCTCCGCTCGCCGTTCCCACCCTGCGCATAGAAGCGCCCGCGCTCTAGACACCGCGGAAGCCTCGGCCGAGTCGCCGCCGCCGCCGCCGGACTTGGTGCGTACCGGGATTTCCTCTCCCGTTTCCTTTATGCCACGCGGGTTTCCTGCGCCCCTACTTCAGAAAAAGAAAAAGAAAAAGCCAGCCCCAAATCCATTCGCAGCGACCCCCCTTGACCTACCCACCGCCCCAGAGGTTTCGTGTTCCCTGGCCCCCTCCCTCGCTTTCCTCCCCCGCTCCAGTCCCGTGACCTCATCGATGGGGAGCGAGCTAATAATGTCCATCTTTGGGATGAGTGCCCACCCGAGGGCTTATTCTGTGCGTGTGAACGGGCAACCCCGGGGAAAGGTGCGGGGGGGTGTAGATATAGACCCAACGCGCAGCGGAGGCTGCTGCTTATTCCCCGCTCCCCCCCTTCTTATCTCTCCCTCCCCTCGGGTGGAGGACGGTCCCCGCCCTTGCCCCCCGCCCTTGTCCAGCCCCTCCCCCTCCTCGGGCAGGGCGCAAAGCCCCTCCTCCTCTCATCTCCCCCTCTTCCTCCCTCCCTCCTTTCCCTCTCCGGCCTCGGCTGGCTCAGAAGCAATCCCCTCTCCCTTCCCCTCGCATACGGGCAGGGCTAGGCGCGTTGCAGCCTGGGAGCCGTAGTCCGCGGGGCAGGGCCCGGCTCGGGGTGGCGGCGGAGGGCCGCCGGGCGGCCGGACTACACTTCCCGGCAGGCCCCGCAGCCAGCAGCAGCAGTTCGGCGGCGGCGGCGGCGGCGGCGGATCGCTCTCGTCCTCACTCTCCGGCTGCCAGTGCCGCCGCCGCCGCTGCTCGGCGAGGGAGCCGCGCCGCCGG